AATAATAATAATAATAATAATAATAATAATGATAATAATAATAATAATAATAATAATAATAGTAATAATAATTTTAAAAGATTATGCCTCACATTTCCATTTTCTAAAGAGTGGGTCTACGTAGTTAACCTTGCCAGCGGAAGTGCCAGAAGTGATATTTCGCAAGGCGCATTTTATTTTGAGAGTATAGATCTAGATCTAGATCTACACCTAATTTTTTGCATCTCTCAAGATTTATTGCTCCATTCCAGTAGAGTGTAAATATAGTAGGCCAATGACTTTTAGTTGATGTAAACACACCGATCATTCCTTTCATCATAGGGAGCCCAGCTAGGAATACAAATGTAATATAACGCTTCAAGTTCAAGTCACGGAAACTTTCTTTCTGAATCTCACGTCCCATCAACCATGTGGGTGTCCCCAGCTTTGGCTACGCTGGTCTGATGGTCCCAGGTGCCATGATCGTCGGCTGCTTCATCAGCGCGGGCGTCATCTCCTCGGAGAACAACTTAGACCCAAACATTGACATCAGGAACAGGTGAGACTTTTGTTTCAACTATTTTTTTGGAATTTATATTATTTCTGTGTAAGTTTCGAGTTTGTTTGTTTTGTTGTTGTTTTTTGTTGCTATTAGCATATTTTTGGGTAGATTTTAAAGCTTTCTGAACCGGCATTTTTTACTTTTTTGGTTTGGGAAAAGGCTGTTACCTCTTACCTTGATAATAGTATATTGCTTTCGAGTTTTCGTTCTCTCCCATTCTCTCTCTCTCTCTCTCTCTCTCTCTCTCTCTCTCTCTCTCTCTCTCTCTCTCTCATTCTCTCTCTCTCTCATTCTCTCTCTCTCTCTCTCTCTCACTCTCTCTCTCTCTCTCTCTCTCTCTCTCTCTCTCTCTCTCTCTCTCTCTCTCTCTCTCTCTCTCTCTCTCATTCTCTCTCTCCCTGTGTCCAGCCAAGGCAACGATTACTTCGACGTTTACTACATCAAACCCTACAACCGGATTGGCCCTTACCTGGTGGGAATGATCACCGGCTACCTCCTCTACAGAACCGACTGCAAAGCGCGCCTGAACAAGGTAAGACAATAGGTACACACTTCAATATAAGTTCAGGACCACTTGCAAACACTCTGAGTGGTCTTCTTGGGTCGACCTGCACGGGGGCGTTCTTGGACTGATCCAGTGGCTTGATGGCGCTGCCTCAGGCGGACAATGACAGAGTGTGACACTGCAAGCCTACGGGCAACTTCTCGGGCTCCCACTTCATCCTGCAGCCATGCCATAGCCCTGACACCACCAAAGTCTCTCAGCTTTCGTCTTGGTGGCATGTTGATGCGATACTGGATTTTGCGCAAACGGCGGCTTATATTGCCACCAAAATGAGCACAGTTCGAGACCAAACGTCCGTTTATGATATTCACCAGAAATTTTAACAGAGAAATGTCTTTGGTGTCGCACGCAAGTCGATAAAAAACAGCACATTTGGCTAAAATTCCCAGAGGATTTCCGTGCAGCACGAGGTGGTTTTGCCCCTTTAGGAAGCTTTGCAGTACGCATTGGTAACCATTAACACTTTCAGAGCAAAACATTTCGAAACATTCCTTGCTGTCTTTTTAAAAAAAAATTTAACATCAGGGCTGTCTGTTAAGGTGGTCGTTGACTTATGTTGAAATCTGTGTATTTTAATGTCAAGAGGAAACAGTCATTATAACACTTCATATTTTGAAACAGTTGCTCATTTTGTACTGATTTAAGGCGCGTTTCAACACGGGAGTGGCTCTATCAGTGTAGTAGTCGCTGCACACCTGACGAAGAATTCCATAGACAGTCGCTTTAAAAAAGACGACAGTATGAATTATTCTTTATATTTTCACCTCGGTAAATAAGTGTTTCCTTAATGACTAAAAGCATTGTAATACTATTGTAATACACACCCCTAGCCCCCCCCCCCCCTACCCCCCCCTCAGACGGATGTACGGCCCCACAACAATAACATTATTTTTCGTAGGTTTTAAATTTAATTAACAGTCATTTTTGTACCTCAGAATACGATGGTGCTAAACTTGTTGGATTAGTTTAATGCATCAGAATTGATAAGTTGGCGAATTGACGAGATATTGCACGGACATATAATATATTACACTGTAAAGTTTTTACTTAACTCCGAAATTTCATTGTGATTCAATTCAACCACTTAAAATTTCCTTAATTATGACCATTTTCACCTAAATTTCGGTACTGCCCACATATTATTAATATAAATAATAAATGACATTTGTATAGCGCAAATCCCCGCTCAACAGCAAGCTCTATGCGCTTTACAATCTTTACTATTGCCCCAGCAGACCTGAGAGCATTCTGAAACAAACTCAACTTCCTGGGAAGCATACAGTGCTAACTACCATTTTATAGGCGCTAAAACACAAATGTACTGACAAAATTTTTCGCTGTCTATGGCTGGGTACCCTTTCTCACCTGGGTGAAGTGGGGGAAATTCGTGTAAAGTGTCTTCCCCAAGGACACAACGTCGGGCCTGAACCCCCGAACCCGAAACCTCACGATAAAGAGTCAGGTAGGTCCTAGCCTAATCACAGAAATTGATGTACAGAAAAGTGAGAAGACATGGAATAACATTAGGAGGCTAGCCCAGGATAGTGAAAGGTGGAAAGTGTTTGTCCGTGGCCTATACCCTGGTGCAGGGTGAGAAAGTGTTTGTCCGTGGTCTATACCCTGGTGCAGGGTGAGAAAGTGTTTGTTCGTGGCCTATACCCTGGTGCAGGGTGAGAAAGTGTTTGTCCGTGGCCTATACCCTGGTGCAGGGTGAGAAAGTGTTTGTCCGTGGCCTATACCCTGGTGCAGGGTGAGAAAAGCAATGATGAGGCCCTAGCCTAACCACTGGACTACCCACGCCACCTATACTAACGTCCTATCCCTCACCTGACCTCCCACTCCCTTCTCCTCGTTTAGTTTTAGTAAGACTTTCACCGCACTAGCAACACAATACGGTCATATAAGTGCCGACGACTAGAGGTGTTACAAGAGAGTAACAAACACCAAAAAGGAGTAGGAGAGATAAGGACGATAGATGTTTGATAGGGAAGAAGGAGCAAACCACACAAGAGCACCTGCCAACCACCCACCCTCCTTCTCCTCCTTTTTGTTTTGTTTTTCCCAGAAAGTCGTTGCTATGTGCTGGGTCCTGGCGTGCGTTGTGTCCCTTGCTGTGGTGTACGGCCTGTATGAGCACACGAAGGGAGACCACCTCAGCTCTGACGTGGCCGCTCTCTACAACTCTCTCCACCGCACGGGCTGGGCTATGGCTGTAGCCTGGCTCATCTTTGCCTGTGCCAACGGATACGGCGGTGTGTTGTTTATTTGTTTGTTTATTTGTTTGTTGGTTTGTTTGTTGTTTGTTTGTTGTTTGTTTGTTTATTTGTTTGTTGGTTTGTTTGTTGTTTGTTTGTTGTTTGTTTGGCTTATGTTTGCCTGCGCCAACAGATACGGCGGTGAGTGAGTTGTTGGTTTGTTGGTTTGTTTGTTTGTTTGTTTGTTTGTTCGGCTCATCTTTGCCTCCGGATGTGGCGGTGTGTTGTTTGTTTGCATGGGGTCCTTTTAGTCCCCTGTTTGTTTCTTGGATGTATTATACAGGTCGTTTTTTCTGGGGGTTTTCTTGGGGGGAGGGGGGGATGTTTATTTTTTATGATTTATGAAACGTGCATTGAATTTTTCATTAACAAATCCTCAAGGAATCAATGTAGCCTTAAGCACAAACAAACAAAAAAAAGTTTTTAAAAAAATTTAGGTAGCCTAAAAAAATTGTCAGATTGATATATATTGTTAGGGTGGCGTCGGTGGCCTAGTGGTTAGGCTCTCGGACTCGCAACCGTAAGGTCGTGGGTTCGAATCCCGTCAAGGGCCCGACGTTGTGTCCTTGGGAAAGGCATTTTACACGAATTTTCCTCACTTCACCCAGGTGGGAATGGGTACCCAGCTATAGACAGCGAAAGATCTTGTCAGTTTGTTAGTGTTTGAGCGCTTAATCAGCTGCTTGCACTGTATGCTTCCCGGGAAGCTGAGAATGTTTCGGAGTGTTCTATGGTCTGCTGGGGTAATAATATAGTGTAAAGCGCATAGAGCCTGCTGTTGAGCGGGGATATGCGCTATACAAATGCTATCTATTATTATTATTATTATTATTATTTACGTCTATTGGCTAGATTTTGATATATAGTTGTTGTTGGGTTTTTTCATTTTTTCTCATTAATCAGAACGATCTGCTTACCTGTACTACAACTGTATTCTCATATAACAAAAACTTCATTCTTATTTATAATAATCATTATTTTCATTAGTATTATTATTATCATCATCATCATCATCATCATTATTATCATTATTATTATTATTATTATTATTATTATTATTATTATTATTATTATTATTATTATCATTTTTATTCTTATTCTTATTCTTATTCTTATTCTTATTCTTATTGTTGTTGTTGTTGTTGTTGTTGTTGTTGTTGTTGTTGTTGTTGTTATCATTATTATTATCATCATTATTTTTATTATCCTTTTTATCCTTATTATTATTATCATCATTATTATTATTATTATCATTTTCATCATTATCATCATTATTATTATAAGTATTATTGTCATTATTATTATTATTATTATTATTATCATTATTATTATTATTATTATTATTATTTTTATTATTGTTATCGTTATCATTATCATTACTATTATTTTTGTTTTCCCATTGACTCCGCAGGCATCATCAACAACATCCTGTCGTGGCCAGCTCTGGTCCCCCTGAGTCGTCTCACGTACACCGCCTACCTCGTCCACCCCCTCATCATCTACTTCTTCCTTTTCTCCGAGAGACGATTCTTCTACCTCGACAACAACAACATTGTGAGTCACAGAATATCATATATATATATATAGTCGAACCTGCCATGACGGCCACCTGTACAAACGGCCACTTTCCATTCCCCCCCCCCCCCCCCTTGCGCGTTTTCTAGATAATTTAACAGTGTAAAACGGTCACCTGTCCAACGCCGCCGCGGCCACCTTATTTTATCAACCCATGGTCAAATGTACCTGCCTCAGGCGTCCAGGCGTGGTCACTCATCGCCCGACGCTTTGTCAAAAATTTTGGATCGCCCCTGACGCTGTGGACGGGCCGTCATAATTCATTCACCTGTCGTTATTGTTAGTCCCTCCAATGACTGTTTACCCAAGTTGACCAATGGGTAGGCCTAACAATAACTTTTCAACTGCTGGTGAGGGAAGCGTGTGATCCGTTATAACCTATAAGCCCCGCCCACAACTCATGCACAAATAGTGTGTGAGGTGACTGGTCACTGTTTTGTTTACCTAATCTGTAACAAAGTAACAATGGACGTTGACGTGAACTTGTGACAGAAGCGTCGCTCGTTCTCCGAGTGGTGGCGACCCGTGTGTTTCTTTTTGATAAGGACTTGGATTATACCCCCCTCC